TTTCTTTTCCATTACCCTATACAACCCCAATAATATAGAATAAACCATAATAAACCCTATAGAATCTCTATAAACCCTAGTAGTTTCCATTTTATTTTCCATTATCCCTGTATAGCCCCAATATAGTCCCTACATTATATACCCTAGATGGGCCCAGGAACCTTGGCTCAGATCGAGCGCTACGGTAAGTTTCCATCACACGAATTGTAATAGTAATAATAATAGTAATAATAATAGTAGTAATAATAATAGCAATAATAATAGTAGTAATAATAATAGTAGTAAAAATAATAGTAATAGTAATAATGATAATAGGAAACTTGCTGGGGAAGGGTTGGCGTCAAGCCCTTGTTCTTCTATGACCGTGCGATTTTTCAGACGGTGTCGGCACAAAACCATCTATGACTCTACTTGCTTTTATTTCATGGTGGTCAGATTCGGTTGACTTTTCATTAGTCCTCCTGCGTTGCTGACATTGAGGGGTATCGCTGGACCCTGAGCGCTATGTTAGCAAACGAACAGCACAGCGCCTTACATTTAAACTTTATATGGAATGCCTAACTGTCGCAAATCCCAACTTCCAAAATCCCCTAGCCTTACCCTTTCACCTCAAACTGCTTATGCCTAGCTTGCCAGCATTGCATGTGCCTGATGCATTTCAGGTTCTATGCAGTCGAAAGTGGACGCCATCTGCTCGGGCAGAACTGTTGTGAGCAGAGCATGTGAAAGCAGTGCTACGGTTAGTCACAGTCCTTGAGAAGGCTTCATGTGGTAGTTTCCCTGCATAGGGGCACCCCATCATGGACCCCAAAATGCTATAGTCTTTACTATGGCGATCCCCAAAAAAGGTACCGTTAATTTTGTGAAGCCACCCCATATACCCTAGATAATTCGATATATATAAACCCTATATCCCATCCGAAGATACCGTTTATTTCCTTCAGAAGGGATTCTTGGTACATGAGATCATGCCTTTGATCTCCCCCTCTGTAGCCCCTACAGTATACCCCCAATTTACCTCTATATTACCTCTTTCTCTCAAACCCAAAACCCTAAACCCTATATATATATATATGTACACACAGACACTAAGACCTAATTGTAAAAAAAGAGGTCCAGAAGCTCTGGTTGTCACCCAGGCGAGGAGCTCACCAAGTGGCTGTTGAAGACGAAGTCCAACCCAAATGCTCGGGCAAAGGCCAGGTTTAGGGTTTAGGGTTTAGGGTTTAGGGGTTAGGGTTTAGGGTTTAGGGGTTTAGAGTTTAGGGTTCAGAAATTGTCATCCCCTTTGTTCGCGGGAATCCACTGTTTTAAGCCATGGCCAGTACTGTCAGCAACTTTTTTGCAAACGCTGCTAGTGATGAAGATGTCACACAAAGGAAACGGCGACAGAGAAGGCATATGCTGCGTGCAGTAGACAGAATGGATGCAATTCTAGCAATGCTTCCGTCTGGCATTGATGAGCACAAACATCAGCATAAGCATCAGAATCCTTTCTAGGCCCGACCTCCCAATCCCACAGTACTCCCGAAACCACCCCAAAGGCAAGCACGGCCCGGCTACCCTCACATCAATCAACTCCTCCTTGCAGGACAAGAGCACTTGTACAATGTTGGCTTCGGAGAAAGGCTGGTGGTTTCGTACGAGTCATGGCATGCCAACTCAGTGAGCGCACGGTCAGGCCACCTGAAGATCTTGAAAGCTCTTGTGTCCAAGAACGTTGATGCGGCTCACTTGCAGAAAGTTGTAGCATTGCTGTGATCACCAGGGTCCTTCTGATTTTCCTAGTCCTAAACTGCTCACTGACTATGTGGATTCATTGGGCGACCCACAGCAGCGTTCGTGCGTTTCACGGGATGGATCTGTTAAAGGGGAGAGCAACAGGACATCCCAACTTTTTTTAGAGAACCCAATGATGCATTCCCGCATAGTCCGCAACTTCTGTGCTTCCTGCCACTCCCTGCCCCCCATTGAGGATTATATAAGCTGTTATCTTGGGATGATCGGAAAGAAAATTTAGACTACTATAATCTAATAGGGTTATAGGGTGAAAATATATAGGGGTAGAATGGAAAAGAAAATGGAAATTACTCCTAGCGTCACCAAGCCCTGTCTCCGCAACCACCGTCGCCACGCAACTGCCGCTTCCAGGGAGGACGGCGACACCAAAGAACAGTAGCTGTTGCTGATGTTGCAGCAAAAGATGACGAAGGGGCCAGCTTCTCGTAGAAATCCCACTGTCCGTATTGCATTCATTTGTTGTGGATTGCATTCATTTGTTGTGGCTCGTATAGCCTCCATCCTTTTTTTCTGCTGTCACCGACTGTGTTCCCCTGCTCCTGCTCCTCCTGCTCCTCTTCGCTTCATTTTCATCACCACCATGTTTTGCTTGTTCTTGATGTTGGCACCTTTTCATGACGGTTGTCATCTTGGACGACAACGACATCCTCGTCTTCATCAACATCATCAATCACTCTCACCATCATCATCATCATCATCATCACCATCATCCATGGACATCAGTAGCAGCACCAGCATATGCATCAGCAGCAGCCGCACCATCAGCATCATCAGCATCATCATTGCCACCACCAGGATCAGCAGCAGTCAAGCTATTGCGCCTGTACTTTGCCCGCCTTTCCACGAGTGTTTTCGTCGTCTCAGCGTTGCAAGCCTAGCACAGTTTTTTGTTGATGCTATTCCTTCATTTACCTTCCTTGGCAAATGTTGTTGTTATTGTTGTTCATTCTTGGACGACGGGGCCAGAGATCCCAAACCCAAGGTCGAGCCTAGCAGACAAAAGACTGAGCACCCCCAAATTTTGACGAGATGAAGAGAAGTCAAAGCAGGGAGCAATATGAGACGTCCTGCAGGCTTCTGCAATATAGGGATGTATAGCAACGACAAAGTCTGTGTTGCCTTCTTGTTCGCCACAGAAAACGTATTTCCTGCAAGAGTCTCCAAGCGACTTGCCTGATTCTGTGAGGTGAATGCCAAAGACCTCATGGGTGCGGATCCGAGCTTTTGGCTTCAGCACTTTCAGGTGTAAGGGTTTACAGTAAGGGTTCGGGTTTGAGGATTCAGGCTTTAGGGCCGTTTGGGGGCGGAAAGTGATTCGTCTCTAGAGCCCCGCACTTAAGCTATCTCTTGCAAACCCTGTTGTGACCAGGGCGCACCTCATGCTATGACTTGGCTGACGATTGAGATAGCTTGAGGTGCAGGCTATTGGGTCAGACAAGTGACAGAAGCCTGCTTTTGATTGAATGGTCGTGCATTCACTGGCCGCAGCCCCGTCCAAAAAGAGATCCTTGTTGTAGAGCCCGATTGCTTTCACTAGCCGCCACCCCCAACTGCCGATAAGGCTATGTACCTGCAGCACCCTCATTTGACGCCAAGAAGGGATGGGTGAGGAATGGATGTGTCTAAGCTTTCCGCTTCCAAGCGCATCAGCATGTCGAAGCCGATTATCATTGCATTTTGCGGTTCTCAGTCTAGGCCTTGACATTTCTCTAAGCTCGCGTCAACATCTCTCAGCTACTTCAGCGCCGTCCCCCTGCAACAGGCAATAATGCCTTGCTGCTCAGCGTGATGGGGGCCAGGGACCGGTTTTTGTCATGAAAGGCCATGCAAGCTAGGCCGAGTTGCGCTTTGCTTTAGCAAGTACTGGCGAAGCAGGTCTTAAAGTTTGCAAGTATTTTGATGTTATCATGGGTGGGAGGCCGGTGTGGATGCTAGCGGCTTGGAATGCCGCCAAGGGGCTTTCCGTTGCGCAAGGGCAGCTTTCACTACGGGGAAGTAGGCAGCAGAGATCTAGGAATAGCTTCGTTGATCAAACATCGTTCTTAAAGGGTTTGATTGACTTCCGAAGTTGCTGTGGGTCCGCGGAGGAATGTGCACCCTAATTGTTCCGAGACTGGTATTTCTGTGAGGGGGGGGGGACTGGACGGGTATTATGTGCGGGAAGAGATTTCGGATGTATGACAGCGGTCGTCGTCCTTGTCGTCATCGTCATCATCATCATCATCATCATGACCAGTGTCACCTGCACCTGTTCCACCTCTCAGCCATCATGTATCATCGCGTATCCCGGTGTGCAACATGTTTCATCTGCCTTTCGTATCCTTTCGTATTGGAATCATCCTAGCACGGAAGTCTCGAGCTTCATTATCGCTTGTCGTTTATGGGCTTTTTGCTAGCCTGCTGTTGCTTGCATCTCTTCATTGCAGCTCCTTCAGCTTGCATCAACGCTCTGTCATCACCGCCAGCATCAAAACTACCATCACCATCCACACCGTCTTCATCATCATTAGCAGTATTGGTGTCCGTCAACATCACGTTACTGTCGTTGTCAGCATCACAGAGGCATGATTGTGGTCACAAGTTACAGCCGTCGTTATCTTTAGCATGATCATGAGCGGCATAAGCATTGTCACTCGATTAATATCACAGTCGTTATGGCTACCGTCGTGGTTTGTCATCGACGTCACCTACACCAGCATCTTCTTGTATGTCTCATAATCCACATCCCCGCACATGTTTCCAAACAGTAGGATCCATGTTGTAATGAGGGTCCTCCCCAAACGTCACATTTGATTGTTCAAGAGCATGGAGCTTTGTGTATACCGGGTCCGAAGTGCTCCCATCCAAATCCCTTTCAGCCCCGACTCTGAAATCGCAGGACACTGTCGCCCGGTACCTCATAAATCATGCTGCGGACTGCACCATCAAGAACAAGGCGGCCCTTTCAAGAACACACGGGGCCCATGCAGTTATTCGTATAGACATACACAAATACAAAAGCGTTTATGTTGTTATGGAGGGTTGAGGCACATTGCAGCCCCTGTTTAGGGACTTGTGTCCTCTGGATCCAAGAACTTGGAGGCTTTCCAGGCAGTTCTTCTAAGACCTCTTCGAACATCTTCGAACAAAGTGCAGGGGAGAGGGTTTCTGCAACGCATATGTTTCAGGGACTGCTGCACAAGACTTTGAACCTCAAAAGCTCAAGCCCAAGACCTCAAACATCGTACCTTGGCTACCCGGAAACCTACAGTATCATACAGTAACCTTAAGCCTTGGGAACATGTGAAACTTCGAAGCATGCGCGTTGCAAGTGAGAGCGGGCCGCAGGATGGGGTCACAGCCTAGAGCCCAGTGGCATCCTTCTTTCTTGCTCTGTGGGTACTATGGACGCCTCGAGAATTCCCAGTACCTAAATCATAGTCGCAGATTCCTGCATAATGATAATATAGGGTTACCTCAACTAGACATCCCCTGTCTGGGTTGCTGTTAAGGAATTTTGATTAAATTACTTTATAGGGGAAACCTTGTCAATTACTATATACCCATCATGGTAACCTATTGTAAGTCCCTTGAAACCCTATATTCCCCCAGGTCCCGTTTCATTTTCAAGTTTTTTCATTTGATTTTCCATTATAAGGGGGATAATGTCCCTAAACCTAAGCCTTATATACCCATCACTAAGATAACTCCAATAATATCCCTAGACCCTGTCATTTACGGGCTTCTAACAGACTGCGCCTGAGGCCCTGGGAGTCGCCGCCAAGCTGAAGCTGGGGCCAGTCGGGCATCCAAGACTTTAAGTTTGTACCCTTACTGTTTGTAACCCTAGGACCATATTCCATGGTCTAGGGACCCAACCCCGCCATGGGTACAAACCCTAAGGGTGCAAAGGAAAACTCCCCGAGGAGAGCCCGGCCTTCTGGCGTTGAGAGCGGGGGGTGTAGGGACTAGAGTTTAGGGTTTTACGGTTTTAGGGCTTTAGGGTTTTAGGGTCTAGGATCATTTGGTTTTAGGGTTTTAAGGTTTAGGGGTTTAGGGTCCAGGGGTTATATGGGGGTATACACGGACTACATGGGGTTAGATAGGGATTCTATAGGGTCATATACAGATATTGTATGGGTCATGTAGGGATTTGGGGGGTTTCCGAAAATGGGGGTGGTCCCAATATAGACACCGATCTGCCGTAATCCTTGTTCTAGGGCCCCCCAAGAAGAGAGCCCTGATTTTCGGAAACTCCAATTTATGGGGTATGCGGAGTTTCTGGGATTGTTTGGGCATCAGATTAGGACTCCGCAGCCACTGTCAATGCAACGGTTCCACAAGAATAATGGGGTGGACGCATGCTTCCGCGGCATAGTTGGATACAACCCCATGCCCTGCAATTGTGTTGCTATGGTTGACTCTGGCTTGTTGAAAGTTTTCTCGGAATTATGCCCTCCCAAAACAGTGCGCGGGCTGGAGCACCGCACCTTCGTCATAACAGCAGTGGGCAGGAAGATGAAGAGTAAAACTTTCGTAGATTCAGATAAGTGACATGATCACAGAGGATGTGTAGGACCACAGTCGCAATGATTGATGATGACCGTTAGTGTGACCATCCATCTTGAACCCTACACACTAGCCCCAAAACCTAAACCCTGGAACCTCAACCTCAAGTCCAAAACCCTAAACCCTGGATCCTGAACCCTAAGCTTTCAACCCTAAACCGAAAAGGAACCAACACTAAAGCAAACCCTAAACCCTAAACCCTTTGGACATTTCCTCGGACTCAGGCTGAGGAGAAAACGTCCCACAAAAAAAACCCTAAACCTTAAACCCTAAACCTTAAGCCCTAAACCCTAAACAAAAAACCGTAAGCCCTAAACCCCTAAACCAGCCTCAAAGTGAAAAGTCTGCCCTGCCCAGCTCAAAAGCTTGCTCGACACGATGACACGGAAGACCCAGGTGGAGCGGGAGTATGTAGGGATGACAGGATAACAGGGACTTATGTAGGGATAATATGAGTTCACAGATTCTAGGGATTGGGGGTTATAGTCATTAAGAATATACTGTAGCTCATACAGTAGGATAATTGGGGCTTATGTAGGGATAATGTGAGTTCATAGAGTTTAGGGATTGGGGTTTATGCTTTTAGGTTTGGGGACAATATGGGTTTCCAGGTGGAGCTAGAGTCTTACCTCTAGTTAGCAGGCATTAGGGTATTCTCGGTGTTAGATATGTGTAGGGATTATGTCGGGTTGTAGGGTTACATAGGCTTACCTAGAGATGGCGGAAAAGAGCACGGAAACTATTTTATTCTTTTGGCGGGGTTTTATACGAACCACTATAGAGATCCAATCCTGAATTCCTTGCTAGCTAGAGGTAAGAGAATAGCAGTTTCTGCAAACGAGCCCTATTTATCGGTTGGGGCCCTTTTATCTCTTAGGACATGACTTACGAAACCTGCTAATTCACATCAGGGAGAGCCTTGCGCGACAGGATCGAGGTGGTGAAGATGACGATGAGCTGTAAGTGGTGAGGTGGCGCTTGCGTGTGTCATTCGTACTGGGACTGTACTGGAACTGGTCAAAAATTGGGTGCGACTAAAAGGAGAAATTGATTTGACACATGCCCATGTACATAGCACTTCAAAGCTGCAAATGCCAAACAGTGCTGAAACTAGCGCGGTCTGGTGCAAAGATGCAGCTTGTCTAGCCAAGCAGAAAAGCCTTTGTCCTCCTTGCTTTCTTGCAAGCAGCTTGCGTGCGGGCACGGGGCTCTCCCCCTGAACCCTTACTGTCCCTTTTACTCTATCTACTTGGTGTCCTTTGTTGGCTGCGCATCATAAACCATGAGGTGCCGCACAGACGGCAGTGTCCGATGCTTCGAACATTCGCACCTCTTGCCTCACCCTTGGTGCCTCCCCCAGTCGACTCACGCAGGTGTTTGCCGCTGTCACGGGGGACTTGGGGTTTTTGACTCTATACTTAAAATGCTGCCCCATTCAACAAGCACAGCGAGCTCGTAATGAGGTTGCGGGAGGGTGTGTTGCAGGGATTCCGCCAAATCGGGGTCATCATCATGTGAGGGAGATTTAAGGGTTATGGCTCTTCTTATGCTTCATGGGCTGGATAGATGGGAGCTTGATAGAAATGAATGATCCCCCCACCAATCCTTGCTCACCTTGCAACAGCCTCATGGTACAGCAAAAACGGGTACTTTAATGGAGACTTCGTCCAAACTACCTCATGAGAATCCTTAAGCTGACCCTACACATCCCTGAGGTCCCTAGGGCTGCCATATGTCCCATAGTCTAAACTCGGTTATATAGGAGATTAATGGATGTTATATAGGGGAGTAGCATAGGCCTCAGGGGGATATCAGGAGTTTAGACTATAGCTCATGTGCTAGTTTCCCCAAAAAGCGGGTCCCAATATTGCCCGCAATATACTACACAGTCCTTCTTATAGCCAATATAGCCCCCAATATGTAGTCCTTATTATTATAGCTCATGTGTCCCAACTCCAGACAAGCGGTGTGGAAGTTCGCCAAGGTCTTCTCCTGGAAGCTGTCCGCGCGGCGCTGCGACGTGAGGTCCGTTGGTTCGAGGCAGGAGGGGAATAGGGGAATACATAGGGTCTATATTGGGAGAATGGAAAAGAACATGGAAACTACTACATTCTAATCGGGTATACATTGTGGTCACAGTAGTAGGGAACAAGGAATATTTTAGGGGGCTGCAGTGGTTCTTTGCCACAAAATCTTTCCTGATCCATCACGCACATGCAACTTGGCCAATGTCAACTGAAAGCTGCACTTCCGCAGGCGCTTGCTGTCTACAAGAGCTCAGGCAGGCATTCCACACATGGGTGGTTGTCAAAATTATGGTCCCTTTCTGGGTACCCTAAATATTAGGTGCCGTATTATAATAGGGATCCAAAAAGGGACCATAATTTGGACAACCACCCACATCCCAGCATCAGACTGGCAAGAACTCCTGGGCGGGGTGAGTGCCGTACTGTGGCTTTTTGAAGCCTTGACCCCATAGGAGCTGCGTGCCGAGTTGTAGACCCTTTTGCCCCTGACCGTTCCAGACCTTTGAGTACTTATAGTACATCTGAGAATCTGAGCTATTGAGGTTTAGCATGAAGGAGAGAACATCTACAATGATTGGACTTTTGCCCTTCAGGATTTGAGGGTCCTGCTGGCACTGCTCGAAGGGGTTGCGGACTTGGTGAGACGAGTGTACTAAGAAACTAAGGGCGCCTATAGCCTCAAGGTAAAAGGAAGTCATCTCCCAGAATCTTACTTGGGATGTGGGGTTTTCAAACCTAAAAAGGCTTACTAAGCCTTACCCTGCACACCGAGATTCTGAGCGCAACCTGCCCGAACCCCTACACCCTAAACCTGGTCTGTTGCTCAACGAACGTGTTCCTCTGGATACCTTAACCCCAAATAGATCAAACATGATCCTGTCTAATTAGTACCCTTGTAGCAATATTCAAGAAGCCCCGTAACCTCTGCCCCCACTTAAAGGTACCCCTAATTTTGGGAAACCCTAATCCCTATAATCCCCTATATAACTCCAGTTTCCATTTCATTTTCCATTTTCTTTTCCATTTGATTCTCCATTATTGGGGTTTTCCCAGTGGTGCAGGATGGCGAGCTCCAGGACGGCCGAGCTTGGGGCTCAGCCAAGCGGCTGCGTTGCATAGGAGCTGTACAGAGATGAAACATATAGGGGTTTATGCTGGGAGAATGGAAAAGAAAATGGAAACTACTATAATATACTAGGGTTTATATAGGGTTTTATAGGGGTTTTTATCGGGAGAGAGGGATGACGCGAGGCGTGTTTCGGAATACATGTTACACAGCAGCAGCTGAAATCAAGTCTGAGCTTTCACTCTGAAGATCCGCGCTTCATCAGCCCATGTTCTAGACGCGAAATAGGGCCATGAAGCAGGTCTGCAAACCAAGATCCTTGGTGAGAGAACCTTGACAAGGGTGACAGTACTGGATTGCCTCAAAACTACCCGCTTCTATGCGTAGGTGGGAGTTTTCTGCCTTTACCCCTTTGAAATCATACCGAACCCTAAACGGCGAGCCCGGCGCATCACAAACGCAGATTCAACAGTCTAGCCCCCACAGCCTTCCGAGCTTGCGACTCACATGCAGTCTTGTAGTCCTTGGCAAGTTCTCATAGGTTGGCCTGCATTTCTTCTCGGATGCCAATTTCAAGCCGCTGCGCGACCACTTCGTAGGCAAGAGCGGAAAGATTCAGGGCAACAAGAACCGTCGGTAATAGTCAAGCGCCAGCGGCAATCCTACTTGCTCGTACCATTACATTCTTAGTGATGCGAAGCAACAACAATGAGGGACTGGTAGACGAATTGGGACGATTTTTTTGAGCTTGATGCATCATATTCATAGGTATCAATATTCTCTAGTCAAAATATCTTCATACCTAAATTATACCATGCTGGACAAGCCCTTTCCCAATTTTTCAGGCCCCATCTTAGCTTGTTCTCATTTAGTCAACTTCCTGGTAGCCCTTAAATCTGACTTAAAGACTATCAGGAGCGGTGTGATGTTCGTCTGAGTGGCACTTTAGATTGACATGTACTAGTCCTCCGTCGACCTTTCGCTTGTTGATGGTTGTTGGCACTGTATGGCTGCACGGCTGACGCAGCATCGAGTGAGGCAACGCATAGGGAAGGTTGCTAAGATTATGACCTTTTTTGGGTACTCTGTCTAGCAGGGGCCGTATCCCCAACAAGAGGCCATTGTTCTGACAACCATCCATATCAGCTTTGCAATTATTTGTTTCAAGTGCCCTTGTTAGCCTGTCGGTAATTTGCACCAAATGGTAGTTTCCAAGAATACAGGAACCCTAATATAGACCCCTAAAAACTATAAGCCACATTATAGGTACACCAAGCACGTACCCCTAGTCTTGGGAAATCACCCAAGTCTCCGTGGCAACCTGGCCTTTGCAGGGTCGGTGGCGGACGAGCGCATTGAGCTGCGGGAGACTTTCGTGGAGGCGCAAAGATTGCATACTGGTCTTTTTCTTCTTTTGCCGTGGTCTTCGCGTCTCTGAGTAGTACAACGGCAAAGACGGTGAGCATCCGTAAAGGCAACAGTATTGCTGCTGATTCTGCTGTTTGCTGCTGTTTTCGCTGCTTTTGCTGCTCCTGCTGCTGGCATGCTTCTTGTGTCATTTTGTGTGCAAAATGCAAAAAAGGTGTGAGAGGTTGGCACTCGTGTCGCCAGCAGCACTTGGCTGGGCAGCTGAACCACGATTTCAGCTCTTGCCTGCAATACGGATCATCTTCCAGTTTATCGTGTAAGGTCATGTGCAGCCAGGCTTTGTGGATGATGTTGGAGCTAAGATCATGTCGCCATCACTACTAGATTAAACCCTTCGACGGAAGTTCTGTCTGTGGGCCAGACCTGTGGCAGGATCCAACAGCTCACTCGTTTGCGCTGTGTTTCTTTGACTTGGAGACCAAACCAAAGACCATATAGCCCAAACAACCGGCGCATCCGGAAGGACTATGGGACCGTGGAGCTGGCTCCCAAATTATGGACCCATCGGCCAACACCAAGCCTAAACGCAAACTCTTTAGTTTCAAGGCGAAGCCTAAATCCCGACTGGGAGTCAGGATTTGGGCGTCATCAAGCAGCGAACTGCAGGAGGAGTTCGGTGCTCAGGCTTCTGGGTTTATGCTTAGACTAGAGGGCCAAGGCCGACTCATGAGTTGAGGTTTAGGGCAAGTTGGGAGTTCAGAGTGTGGGTTCGAGGTCTTACTTAGAGTCCTAGGTGTCAGAACGGCAGATAGCATGTAGGGTATGAGGTTGATGTAGTATTGCGCTTTTTACGCATGCCTCTAGAATCAGCGAGTGCTACTCATCCAATGCTTTGTTGGGCAAGCACGTGACATATTGCTATACTCTTTCCGGTTGCAACCCGAAGCCTGTAGCCTCAGTCTCAGCTTCAACGCCAACGCTCAGAAACCCCCATACCCCATCAGGTGCCTGTCTACAAGTTCAAAACGCATCTTGGTTTCATTGGCCTTGTCGTTGAGTCCTTGCATTTGTCTTTCTGAGCTCTGTATGCCAGAGCAAAGAAGCAAAATCGGCTTGAACCGGGTACGCTCCTACCTCGTAGGCGTCGCAAGACAGGGTCGATGTTTGCTGACCCCATGGGGCATTCAAGATCGCAGACACGCTCATGCGGGCTGTGTAATTCAAAATGAAACCCACAAAATGGAGCGGAAAGTGGGCTCACTTCATGGATGGAATCTACGCTGCCTGAGCTTGTTTTAAGGTAGCTCGTTAAAGGGGGGATCCATGCTTTTTTGAAGCCAAAGACCCGTTGTGCATTCGAAAGCCCAAGCTTACTTGCAAGGAAGGTTCCAAAAAAGGGGCCCATGTTTTTGTGAAACGCTTTGGCTCACATTTTGTCGTATGTAATCTGTCTAGAGACCCCCCCATCATTTTTTGGGCGCTCATGGCGCCGTGTATTCAAT